ATATCTTAGAGATGAGACTTCTTTCGGAGAAACTTGCTGCAAAGATATCTTCCTCAGTTTCCTGTCCCCCTCCCTCAATTTTAGCTACATTAGTTTTGTTTGTGCAAAAACTTTTTAACTTTATGTAATCAAAATTGTCCATTTTATCTCATGTGAATCTCTCTCTGTTTTGGTTTGGTCATGGACTGTTTCTTTAGCCATAGAGCTGACAGGTAATTTCTTCCATTTCCCACTAATTTGCTTATGATGTCACTCTTTATGTCTAAATCACATACTCATTTTGAGTTTATGTTGTTATAAAGTGTGAGATATTGGTCTACACCTAGGTTCTGACAACTACTTTCTAGTTTTTCCAATAGTTTTTGTTGAACAGTGAGTTCTTGTTCTAATAACAAGGATCTTTTATCACATGAAATTATTGTGCTCATTTGCTTCCATATATTATATATTTAATCTGTTCTAGTGATCACCCTCTTTATTTTTTATTCAGTACCAAAATGTTTTTATGATTATAGATCTGTGGTATCATTTGAGATCTGGTCCTACTAGGCCTGTTTCCTTTCCATTTTTAATACGCCCTTGATACTCTTTACTTTTTGTTCCTCCAAGTCAATTTTGTTAATTTTTTTTTTTAGTTCTGTAAAGTAATTCTTTGGGAGTTTGATTGGTATGGCACTGAATAATTCAACTAATTTAGATAGTATTGTCATTTTTATTGTATTTGCTCAGAATATCCATAAGCAATTAATATTTCTCTGTTTATTTGTGTTTGTTTTTATTTGTGTGATGAACGTTTTGTATTCATTTAGATCCTGTGTGTTTCTTGGCAGGTAAATTCCCAAGTATGTTATACTGTCCATAGTTATTTTAAATAGAATTTCTCTTTCTAATTCTTCCTTCCGGATTTTGTTGGTAATATACGAAAATGCTGGTGATTTGTGTATGTTTATTTTATATCCTGCAAATTTGCTGAAGTTGTTAATTATCTTGATTAGTTTTTTATTTGACTCTAGGGTTCTCTAAATAAACCATCATATAATCTGTGAAAAATGGTAGTTTTGTTTCCTCTTTATTTATGCTTATTCCTCCAATTTCTTTTTCTTATTGTTATAGCTAGCATTTCTAGCACAATATTGTATAGTAATAGTGATAATGGACATCCTTGCTTCATCTCTGATCTTATTGGAAAAACTTCTAGCTTTTCCCCATCAAAGATAATGTTTGGTCTTGTTTTTAGAGAGATACTTACTTATCTTTTGAGGAAAGCCTCTTATTGTGGCTTCTTGGCTGTCCCAGGTAGAATCCAGTTTGGTCCATTCTCTAGATTTTTGTCAGAGGTATAAGGAAAGAGCTGAACTCTAATGCTTCTTCTCACTCTGCCATCTTGAGTCCTCCTCCAATGATCTAATTTTAAGGGGGGAAATTCTTAACCAAACAAGGGATAGGGGATAGGAGAGATCACAATAGATAAAATAGATAATTTCATTACATTAAATTGAAAAAAACCCTTTTACTTGAATAAAATAATTGTAGCTTGGATAAGAAAGGGAGTGTGTCAAATGGGGAAAAAAATCTTTGCCTCAAATAATTCTGATTAATGGTCCGATGGCAGTCAGTCAGGAATCGTTTATTAAGTGTTTTCTATTCTGTGTGCCAAATGCTGTTCTGAGTTCTGGGGATACGTAGGTAGAAACAGTCCCATGACTATGGAGGTTGGAATAAGGGAGACCAATAATTACTGTGGTCTAGGCGTGAGGTCATGAGCCCAAGGCTGGAGTGGAAAGAAGGGGACATAGATGGGAGATGGTGTGAAGGTGGAAATGATAAGAGTTGATAAAAGATTGACCATATGGGTAAGCTTGAATGAGGGGTCGGGATGCTATAGAGGTGGCAGTCTGGGGTGATTGGGAGAATGACGGTTCCCTTGATACTAAGTTTGGAACAGGGGGAAACCAACTGAGTTCTATTTTGGATATACAGTTTTAGACATAGATGGTTTTCAAATTAAGAATTATGTGACAAATCATGACAAGACTTACAAACATGAAAGATTTCTCCAAATCACTAATAAGAGAAATGCAAGCCTTTAAAACACTCAATGAATTGGCAAAGGGAACAAGAGATACGAAGAGTTAATGTTGGGAGGGGTCGTGGGAAGATGAGGGCACTAGTATGCGCTATTGGATCTGTGAAATGATCAGTAAACATTGATTAAACACCAACTGTGTGCCAGGCCTTGAGCTAAGTACTAATGTTACAAAAAGAGGCAAAAGAAGGCTTCTGCCCTCAAGGAGCTTACAACCCAACTGTTCTGGAAAGCAGCATGGAGTTAGGTTTTTAAAATGTGACTTTAATGCCCACACTTGGACTTAGAGGTTCAGTTGCTAGGCTTATATCCCAAAGACGGGAAATTCCTAGAGATATTAAATATCAATAGTAGTATATTTTGTGATTGCAGAGACTTGGAAGTAAATTAGATCCCCATAAACTGGGGAGTGCTTGAACAAATTTTATGTAAGGAAATAATGTGACATTACTGTTTTATAAGGAAAAAATAACATGAAAATACAGAGAAGCATGTAAAAACTTACATGCACTGATGTAAAGTGAAGTAGAAGCATTGAAACTATTCTCTCTCTCTCTTTCCTCTTTCTTTCTCAGTCTCTCTCTCTCTCTCTTTCTGTCTCTGTCTTTTTCTGTCTTTGTCTCTCCCTCTCCCTCTGTCTCTATCCCTCTGTCTCTCTTTCCATGATGTCTGCAACAATGTAATTGAATAGGCACAAACAGTTGAAAATCAATGTTGCAGAATTGTAAAGAACAAGCTTGGTCCTGGGAATAAATGGGAAGTGAGGAGGAGGAGGAGGAGGAGGAGAAGGTGAAGGAGGAGGGGGGCATTAGCAGATGCTGGGGGTGGGGTGGGGTGATTAGGACAGGTTTCCTTTAGAAGGTGACATATTCCTGCTTTGACGGAATCTAGGGATTCTAGGAGATGGAGGCGAGGAGGGAATGTGTTTTAGTCCTGGGGGTCATACGGTGCAAAAGTGTGGAGCTGAGGGATGAAATGTTGTGTACTGGGAAGAGTAGGCAAGTCAGAGAGAGGCCCACTAGTGTAGAGTAAGCTGGAGTGTTGGGCGAGAGCTCATGGAGAAAGGGAGATGTGACTTAGGGTTTGAAATATGGGTAAGATTTTAGTAGTTGGAGGGGGGAGGGTAAGGGATTCCTCTGGTGGTGGGGGTGGGACCAGCATGAACAACGACATGGAAATGTGAATGTGCAAGTGATTTACAATGGCAAAAGCTAGAGCAGTGAGGGGGGTGGTGGTGGAAATGTGTGGCCTCGAGGCCACATGTGGCCCTCTAGGTCCTCAAGCGCGGCCCTTTTAATCCAAATGTCACACAACAAATCCCCTTGATAAATGGATTTGTTCTGTAAAACTTGGATTCTGTCAAAAGACTGCACTGGAGGACATAGCGGGCATGTGGCCTCCAGGACACAAGTTCCCCACCCCTGGACTAGAGCGTTTGTGTGGCGAGGTTTGTGTGCCCCTTATCAGGAGACACAGCTGGAAAATCAAGGTGAAGCCAGATTATGGAAGTCCTTGGATTTCAGTCCAGGAAGTTAGGGATTTATCCGTTAATGAAAGAGGTTATTGAATAGGCCCGTGATATAATTAAAATGTATTTAAAGATGATCAATAAGTGCTAATATTGGCAAAAATACTCTGGAGTGAAGATAGGGTAAAGATGGAGTGATCAGTAAGCAGACTGTTACAGTAATACTTCGATGGCCAGAAATGGCTGAGCTAGGGTAATGGTAAGGTAGCTAGGTGGTGCAGTGCACAGAGCACTCAGCCTGGAGTCAGGAAGACTCATCTTCCTGGGTTCAAATCTGGCCTCAGACATTTACTACCTGTGTGATCCTGGGCAAGTCACTTCACCCTGCTTGCCTCAGTTTCCTCATCTGTAAAATGAACTGGAGAAGGAAATGGCAGACCACTCTAGTATCTGCCAAGAAAGCCCCAGATAGGGTCAGGGAGAGCTGGACGTGATTGAAACGACAGGGTTGTAGTATTTGGAGTCGGAAGGATCAGCAGAACCTTGCAAACAAGGGGCATGACTGATGAGATGGAGAGAGAGGGGCCACGGTGATGAGTCAGAATTGGAAACATAGGAAGCAGGTAAAACGGGATTTTAGAATCAAGGTTTGTGATGACGAACTATCCGTGAGACAGGCACCAAACTATCCCATTGTGGTCTGTAAACAGATGGGCTTTGCAAGACTCGCAGCTATTTCCTAGCCTTGTTCCATGGTCGTGCCGAAGAGCCCAGGTCAGGTCTAAAGAGAGGGAAAGGCTCCTGGCTTTGCCTTCTCTCAGTGGAACTGCCTCTGCCGTAGAAGTGGCCCATCCAGGGAGCCTGGTGGAGTGCAACCGATCCAGGGCTCCTGGATGACAGTGTAGCGGAAATATTTAACCAAACACATAAAAATACAGTAAATCATAGACAACATTACAGCTTTCAGAGGCCAGCATGTGGTCAGCAGGGATCCTTCTGCATATGTCGGTGGCCTGGGGCATCACTAGTATAGCGAATGAGTGGGGGCTGAGTCAGGAAGACCTGGGTTCAGATCCTGCCTCTGACCGAGCTGTGTGACCTTGGGTGGGTCACTGGATCTCTCTGGGCTTCGGTTTCCTTATCTATAAACTTGGAGTGATGATACCTGTAGTGGGTTCTTCACAGGTTTGTCTGAACCAGTGCAATGTGATTATTAGTCCACTTTGGGCATGTGGCTCTGCTTGGGACACTCGTGCCACCTGGTGGTAGCACCTTCTAATTGCAGGTTCAGACTTATTCATAGGGCTAATTGCATTTCTTAGGTGCTTGACTTTAAATAGAGTGAGAGCCAATGTCCCAATTATGAATACCTGTCAATGGCGGCAGTCACGTGGCCGTGATGTCTACGTTCTGTTACATTCCAGTTGTCTTCCTGCTTGTTCCTAGGTAATCTTGGCCGGGTGGATCACGTCTCCGAGTTTGAATATGACCTGTTCATAAGGCCCGATACCTGCAATCCACGCTTTAGGGTCTGGTTCAATTTCACTGTTGAAAATGTGAAAGAATCACAGGTAAGTGAAGTCAGAACTACCTTCAGCATTGTTTTGATGAGAAGGAAAATTGGTTTTGTTTCTTTAAAGAATTCACTGGCTTTGTGATGGGAAATAGACTCATATTTCTTCAGAAATAATGACAAATATTCTTGCAAGACACATAGAAGGGTACTAATTATGGCATAAAAATTGGCATGTTCTATGAACGGCGATAGTTTGTGAATGCTTGATATGCAGTTACTTTGTGATTATAAAGAGATGTCACGGAAACAAACAACCTGAAGGGTGAAATGACAACAAAGGCCTGCATCCTTCTTCTGCTCTTTGCAGGCAGCCAATCCCCAAGGAATTGGCCTAGTCAAGTGGGGTCACGAGTTGATGATGGGACCCTCTTACAGAGAGGAATGTGTCTTGCCACCCAGCCCCTGGGGGCAAAGGTCACCTGGCTCAGGGATTTGGAAGCATTTAGCCTCTCTTTTCCCATTTGCTAGAAGGCATGTAGTCTGGGTAATTGTCTACACACAGGCAACTGTTTGCTGCTTTTGTATTAAAAGGAATTGTTAGCTGACTTTCACAGACTTCTTTCTATACCAAGGTCCCTTTTATCCATTGGTTATTGTAATGGTCTGGAGACCAACTCCAGTGCCGAAAATTAGGGGTAATGGAAAGAGCTCTGGATTTGGAGTTCAAAGACCCACATGAAAAATCTGGGCTGTGATGTTTTCTGTGTGGTTTTGGGAAAGACACTTCAGCTCTCAGGGTCTCAGTTTCATTCTCTTTAAAATAATTGTGTAAATCTCATCATCTTCTGATCTCTTTGAAGGGAAAAAAGGTACAAGTAATCCTCTGGCAAATAATTCTGATTTAGGCCATCTTGAGGTTGTAGAGACGATGCCTTTGAGGGGAAACATGCCACCTGTATTCAGACTTACAGGAAGCTTTGGTTGTCGTGGCCCCAAGATTTAACTGAAGGGACCTGGATGTGTGAAGCTGGAGGATGGGGCCTCAGGCCTGCCTTGGTGGCTCTGTTCCTCCAGGCTTCTAGCTTCCTTTCCCTTCACACTGTCCCCTCCACATTACAGCCAGGAGTCACGAGGGTGCTTATTGGATTTCTTAGAGCTTTATCAGACCTTTTCTGTCAACTGGAGTCAGGTGATCCAGGCCCCAAATGAATGGGCACCTGTCTCCCAGAGGCCCAGAGATGGGCTGTGCAGATAGCCCGACTCTTGGCAGCATACAGGATATTTGTTTTTGTGGTTGTCTACGTGGAGGCGAAATGGTTTTACTATTAAGTTTGACTTGTAATGTGTCACCCTCTAATCTTTTTCATCTGTCCAATTTCCGTTCCAGTGAGACTTGCACAAATGTAATCTAGTTGGGGCCTTATTTGGGACTGGGCTCTTGAAGGGGAGGAGGGAGGTGGACCACAGTACACATCGAAAGTGGCTGCCACATCTGGTCTAGGCAGGTCTGAGCCATGTGGTGCAGGGCAGAGATATGAACCCAACAAGTGGTTTTTAAAACAGTATATTTGTAAAAAGTCTATGAAAGCCATGCATTCTGCTACATTGATGGAAAAGTAATTCTCTCCCTCTGGCTCTGGCATTAAATATTCTTATGTGGCATTAAATTTATTTCTGACGCAGTGTGACAGTGACGGTGTGAGCAGAAAGCCAATAGGTCTATTAACAGGTGCATGAGATGGTTATGGCCTAGAGGGGGAAAATAGACAGAACGTCTCAGTTTTTGGCATCTAGAGGCCTTCTGGCTTCCAGCCACCCCAGATCGGCCCAGAAGACTTCTTCTCCCTTTGCTCATTCCTCCGTTCCTTCTAAACTTCCTCTGGATCTCTGCCACACTGCAGGGTGCTGAGGTCTTAGCTCTGAAAAAAGCAGAGAACGTTTTTTTTTTAACCAGTGTTCCAGGAGAAGATGAAGCGACTTTTTTTGTTATTCTTCCTTTCATTTCACCCACAGCTGACAGAGCCTTGGACGGGGTCTTAAGAGTCCTGGTTCTGCCCCTGAGTTATTGTGTAACCTTGAGCAAGTTCCCTACTCTCTCTGGGGCCAACCCACAAGGGGACTGACCCAGGGGTCCAGCCCCAGATCTCATGATCCTCTGTGTACTGAAAGGAATCCCAGACTGGACATCAGAGTTCAGGTCTGAACTCAAGTGCCCTCAAGCCTCAGTTTCCTCCTCTGTCAAAGGGAGGGGTTTGGATTAGGTACCCCCTAAATTCTGTCGTGTTCTGACATTCTGTGAAGGTCAGAGGTGAGAGGTTATATCTGATGCAGAGGTCAGATCACCAGTTCAGGAATCACAACAAGGTCTAAGAGAGACATAGTGAGGAGGGAGGCCTTGGGTTCAGCTAGCATCAGCTCAGGACCATTCTCCCAGCATGCCTCACTCTCTTGGCTGACAAAGTAAGCATGCATTTATGGCCAGGTATTTGGGGCTGGACTCATTCTCCAGCTTTTCCTAAGGCCCAGCAGCTGATAGCTCCTGTCATATCCATTGCCCCTGCCCCTCCCCAGCTTGGCCAGTCCCTGCCCTGGCACTGGCTGTTCCCTTGCTGCCAGTACTCAGAGCTGGACTTATGCTATAAGAGTCCCTACCCACAGTACAACCTGAAGGATTATTCTCTTTGTTCTGAGGTTTGACAAATTTAATTTGAAATGCCCACGTTGAGCTGCCCTCTTGCAGGGGCTCGGAGGGAGGGAGTCTGTCTAGCCATCGGAAAAGGCAAAGCATCCTGGGAGGGGAGGACTCCCTCCCAAGAGGGCCTGGGCCAGTGTTTTGGGTGAATGCACTTTCCTGGCAACGTTTTCTCTCGGAGGTGTGCTGCCCTTGAGCTGCAGGGTGGCCCTTTGTCAGGGGGCTGAGCTCTTGCAGCATTTCCACTTTAGGGGTCCAGCACTGGGGTCTTCTGGTGGAACATTCAGTTGGCCCTCCAGAACAGTGATGATTGTTGCACCACTTTTGTGTTAGTGCCCAAGGTTTACCCACTCGAGGTCCTTTCAGGATATTTAGAGCATCAGAATTAGTCCTGGAGCCAGGTGCTTTGTATTTTAAAAAATGGCTAGTCAACCTGCCACTGACTTTGGTTAGGCCTGTCTGAAGCCCTGGACAAGGCTCTGGGCCTGCACTTGAGGAAAACGGGCTGTAAGGAGCAGGATATGGAGGGGACTGTAGGCTAGGAGAGAAGCTCCAGAGAGAATGCAAGAGCTGAAGTCAAGTATCTTAAGGGCTGAAGAGGGTGGTGAAGAGGGGCCCAGAGGGCAGAACCTGGGCCTGAGGGGCCATCTGGGTACTTGCCCAGGCCACCCAGCTGTTATGTGTTTGAACCTGGATGTGAATCCAGGCCATCCTGATTTTATGCCCAGCTTTGCTCCCACCACATCTCGAGGATGGGGGGATGTCACAAAGGGGCCAGTCTAGGCCCTTGCCTATCCCCCAACAGTACAGGCTCTTTGCAGGGGTGGGGGGAGGCGTGTGAGTTCCCTTTCATTGCAGCTCTTCCACCATAGGCTGCATGGTCATTTTGGGGGGGGCCATGCTTGTGGGGGCTTTGAAAAAGACCTGATCTTAAAGTTTGGGATGAGGGACTGTGGAGATGGTGCCCTTCTTGATAAAGCAGGGCTATGGTAGCCAAGTAGCTTGCTGCTTGTTAGGAGACCTCCCCTCTCACTTGCCGCAAGGAAAGGCAGACAGGCAGGAGAGCTTTGGATCTGAAATTGGACGTGTGGTCACTGGGAGAGAAGCTTGGGACAAAGGCTGTCCTGCCCGTGCAGAGTTCAGGAGACACCAGCAGTGCCTGAGGCACCACGGCATGTGCGGCTGGGGGATTGGTGAGCAAAATGCAACTCCTAGCCCAGGAGAAGAAACGGAGGCTCTTAGAAGAAAATTCAGTGTGAGAGGTAGGAGTGCCAGGGACTGCTGTCTGAGACACTTCTGAAAAGGCTGGGCCTTGGAGTCAGGACGACCTGGATTCCAGTCCCCCTCAGACACTTCCCTTCTTAGCTCTGTGCCCCCGGGTGAGTTTCTTAGCTTCCTGGGCCTCCATTTTCTTTCTTTTCTGTACAGTGACAGGGTTGGCTTGATGGCCTCCCAGGTCCCTTTTAAGTCTAGACCTGTGCTTCTTTCCTGTTGTTAGGTCTCGGGGCAGCACCCAGTACCAGTGGGCCCCTCTGGGGTTTGGCCAAGCTCCTGCTTCTCTCAGGTGCTCCGAGAGGCTGACTCACCCTTTGGCCTACCGCTCTGTGGATGGTGCTGGATGCCCAGGCCAGTCCATGGGCGGGGCTGCCTCACCCGGTCATTCTCTCGGCTTCCTGAAGAAAACTCCCTTTTCTCTAGTGCTTGCTGTGTTTCTTTTAAGGTGGCTGACAAACACATGCTTGCCCACAGGCATTAAACAGAATGGGAGAAATGCATCCCTCCTGTACACCTCTAGTCCTTGCCTCAGCTCCTCAGGTCCTGGGAGGACGTTGTTCCTACCCTGTGGGAGAATCCGAGGCAGGCTCACACTCAGGCTCAGTATGGTAGATCAGCTTCTCCAGGAACACTCAGCACTGGCTTTCCATGCTTTGGAGCCTGAGGAAGGGGAGAGTTGTCCCCATCGCCTGCACCTGCCCTCAGGTCTGTAGAAAACACCTTTAGCGGTGGGAAGAGCAGATTCCTTCTTCACCTCGTCTTTTCACTCACATCCTCTTCTTCTGAAGGAGCCAAAGGAAGAAATGTTGTCAAGTCTGTGCTCAGTGATAGGCTTCGTGGAGCCATGGCAGGGGCTGTTTGGGGGCTGGCACTGTCTTCATAGATGAGTTTAATGTTCTCGAGGCAACAATGGCCCCTCCCCCAAGGCTGATTGTGAACTGTCTTTGTTTCGGTCACCCTCCTCTTTGCTCAGCTCTGTCTTATGATTTGAATGTATTTCCTCCCTCCCTCCCTCCCTTCCTTCCTTCCTCCCTCCCTTCCTTCCTTCCTTTATCTCTTCCTTCCTTCTTTCCTTCCTCTCTTTCTCC